AAAAGCGGAGAACAGGGGAAAAGGGGGGGCGGGAGGGGGGGCCCAAGGAGGGGGAAAGGAGGAAAGGAGCACGAAAGGGGGAAGAAAAGAGAGAAGAAAGAGGAGAGAAGAGAGGGAGGGCGGGGGCCAGGGAAAAGGGGAACGGGAGGGGGAGAGAGGGCCGGGAGAGGGGGAAGAAAACCGGGAAAGGAAAAAAAGGGGAACGAAGAAGAGAAGGAAGAGGGGGAAGGGGGGAAGGGGGGGGGAAGGAAGGAGGAAAAAAAAAAAAAGGGAGAAGAGAAGAGGAAGAAGAAGAGGAAGAAAAAAAGAGGAAGAAGAGAGAGAGAAGAAGAAAAAAGAGGAGGGACCGGGGGGAAAAAAGAGGAAAAAGGGGGAGGAGCGGGAAGAAAGGGAAGAAGAAAAAAAGGAGAAAGAAAAAGAAGAAGAAAGAGGAAGAGATGAGGAAGAGAAGAGAGGAGAGAGAAGATAAGGAGGATGAATAAAAAATTGCGGGGTAGTAGAATAGATATAACCTTATAAAGGAAAATATAAAATAAAAAAAAATATAATTATTAAAAATTGAACTTAATAATTTTAAAAAATATAAATTATTAATATTTAATAAAAAATAATATAATATTATTAAAAAAAAATATTTTAAAAATTATAACCTATTATTACCTTTAAAGTAAAATAATATATAAAAAAGATTTACCTATTAAAGCTATCTAGAATAGACTAGACTAATATAGGTTTATTCTGCCAAGGCTTACCGCCTTGGCAGGTGCACCTGCCACCTGTGGGGCCGTGCAACAAAGATAACTAGAGTACCAAAGCAGAGCTAACATATCGCCTGATATAAGAAAGTTACTCCTCATAAATTTACCTAGGTAATTTGGCTACTTCCCGATATCGTAGAAATGCGAAGTGTCTACGATTGAAGCCGTCGCCTATACTCTCACTTTTCAAGCATCCCATATATTAGGTAGGTCCCATAATCATGTAGCTCTGTGAGAGCCTTCAGAGTTCATCTCTGTCTGGAATAAAGCATAAGAATATAGAAAAATATTCCTTCACGCTTGTTGATTTCATGCCGACTGTCGGTGGCATTGCGGATCTGATAAAACTCGGGACGGATCAGATAACCACCTACAGCTATCCCCCAAGCCCAGGTTCACATCTAGCTTAATTCCAAGTAAGATCTAGCAAGGCTACTGGCAAACGCCAAGATTCTCAAGAAGTCGTACATATAGATCTTTACATATTTTATCCCTTTCAGGAATTAAATCCCACTCTACACTACAACCCATCGACTGATCACTTGGGACTAGAGAAGAAAATGGGAGATATCCTGGATAACAAACACGTAATAGGTAGCTAGATAGACACGTGGGTTGGCGATCCTACAGAATGTAGAGATGGATAGATATAAAGCGCTTTACGATACCAACTCTGTTACATGATTATCACGTCTACATCCAATTAACATATATCGGGGAGTGCATTATAATTTGTGCAACAGTTCGCCTTATGATGGCAGCTCCCCAAACCCAAGCCGTACCCGTCGCCCAGAAACAGGATGTCGAGAGAAGAAAACATCGGACGACGATGATATTCAGGAAGCCAAAGATATCCCCGGGATCGAGTCCGATGCAAGCTCCGGCCATAAGCAAGATGGCGTGTAAAGCGAGTCGAGGCCATTACTACGGTCTGGTCGAAAGAGTTGTTGATCGTCATGTATATCCTGTGAGTTTTCATTCCTATAGTATACGATACCATCGACGGAATCCACCAATGCTAACATATATCGCAATTGGGCAGGCTATTTAGTGACCTTCGTCGATATGCTCTTGCAGTCCGTCCAATCTAACCTCGTACCTTTCGTTACCTCCGCCTTTAATAAGCACGGATTGCTAGCGACGACCGGGATAGTCGCCACTATTATTGGCGGGGTATGTAAACTGACTATCGCAAAAGTCATCGATATATGGGGTCGTTGCGAAGGCTTCATTGTCATGGTGGTTCTTGTCGTCATCGGTATGATTATGAAAGCGACGTGTGTGAACGTCGAAATGTATGCTGCTGCTCATACACTTTATTGGGTTGGTCACCTGGGTATGCAGTATGTCGTCGATATCATCCTCGCCGATACTACGACCCTCAAGAATCGGATAATCATGTACGGTATCAATGCAACTCCTACAATCGCTACTACGTTTGCTGGCCCCAAGATTGCCGACCTGTTCTACACTTATGTCAACTTCCGATGGGCTTTTGGCGCGTTTTCCATCATCCTGGTAGTGTTCTGTCTCCCGGTTGCTATTATCTTCATCCTTAGTAAACGCAAGGCTGTTAAGCTAGGTGTCTATCCTGAAAGGGTCAATACCCGGACATTTTGGGAATCTGTTAAGCATTATTTTATTGAATTTGACGGTAGGGACACGAATAATACTTCCGATAGAGGCATAGTATACGCTAACATAAATAGTAATCGGAATGCTTCTAACTATTGCCGGATGGTCTTTACTTCTCTTACCTTTTAGCATAGTCGGTTATGCACCCCGTGGGTGGAAGACTAGATATATTATAGCAATGATCATTCTTGGTGCTGTCTCATTGGCTGCCTTCGTGGTCTAGGAAAGGTTCTTTGCGCCCGTTGCATACTTTCCCTTCAAATTCCTCAAGGATAGAACCATTCTCGGTGCCTGCATGCTCTACGGCGTCATGTTCCTCTCTATCTAGTAAGTATCAGCCCAATATCTTAGGGTTCTTAACAGTATTACTGACATAGGAGCTCAGCTGTTGGGATAGCTACTACGGATCATACTTGCAGGTTGTACACGATGAGAGCATCACGATCTCGGGCTACGTACTGAATTTTTCTCACTCATGTCGTTTTATTGGCCGTTGTTGGCCTGTAAGTTCTACCCCCCTAAAAAGATCAATTTTAGCATGATTTATTCTAACTTCTTATGATTAACCTAGTCTCATACGGCACACGGGCGACTATAAATGGACTGCAATTGCTGCAATTCCCTTTTGCGTTCTGGGTACTGTGCTATTAGTCCACTTTCGCACTCCAGAGACTTACGTTGGGTATCTCGTGATGTGTCAAATCTTCAACGGTGTTGCAAGCGGAACTTGGGTTCTTACGGCACAGCTCGCGATTATGGCATCGGTTACACATCAAGAAATTGCCGTAGCCATGGCTATATTTGGACTTTTCGGATCTATTGGCGTGCTATCGGCCTCGCTATCGCTGGTGCATGTGGAACAATATTCTCCCCAAAAGCTACAGGAATTCTTGCCAGTGGATAGTAAAGGCTTAGTTTCTAAGATTTTCGGCAACATTTCCGTGCAGAAATCTTATCCAATGGGAAGTCCCATCCGCCAAGCAATCATCGAGGCTTTCGGCGACGTGCAGAGGAAAATGGTTATTGCTGGCTCAGCATTCATCCCTATCTGCGTTATCTGTGTTCTTTTGTGGAAGAATATCAATGTGGTGAAGTTGGAAGAAGAAACACGAGGGAAGCAGACAAAAGGCAATGTATGGTGAACGTTACTTCTTGCGGGAATAATTATCACATTTATACTAGGGGTGAAAAAGGGGTAGGTTATCTCTATGTTACAAGACGTATTGATATGTTTTACACTCCCGTAAGGTAGGTAACTAAACAAAAAGATTATTTCTTTATACCTACTATCGAATCATGTCTTACGACAGCGAGATAATATGTTACCTATGGTTCTACTATCCTTACTAGATAACTAGATAGTTAGTGGTAAAGGTGTATAATCATTGGTACCTGAAGAAAGAATTTCAAATCTAGGACAATTTCTTTGTGAGGGTAAAATCGTCACATGAAACAAGATTACAGCCTCTTTTCGCTTATATCTAAATCATAACAATCGTCTTCAATGCTCTGATTTTTTTGTAAGTTATCAATAACTATGTTCAGTATTGATGATGACGCATTGTTTTATCAATAGATACATTATATACTTAAGGTTCGACAGCGATTCTCTACGTAATAACATCTAGGAAGTTGTCCATCATTCGTCCCTTCAGAATTCTGACATCTTAAAACAATTAACAAAAACGTACAGTTATCTAATTCAACACTTTAAATCCGAAATGACATCACTGAGTTTCGAGATGCTGAATAGCTTGGAAGTCAAGCCCAGCGAGGGTAGGGGGTATGGCCTTTTGCCAAGGTAAATATCCCAGACGGGACCGTCGTCAGCCGTGAATCGGCGACCCTTTATGGACCACCGTGTGTTGAGAACAGGTCTGACGAAGTGGGGATCAATACTTTTTGTGAGACGTACGCCGCAGCCAGTGATTCAATGCGTAGTCGATTGAACAACACGCTTACACCCTAAACAGTACGAGGAGAATTTGGCTAAATACGATTATTTTGATAAGTGGCTAAAAGGGTACATGAAACGTACGGGCCAGTATAAACAGGGAGAGTCTCGAAGGGAAGCGGTACTGGAACTTATAAAATCCTATACGATATTTTGGACCAATGCCTGCGGGTTGCCTGGTGGCGGAGCCGCTGTATACAGTACTTTTTCCCGCTCTAATCACTCCTGTAGGCCAAATTCTACCTGGAGATATACATCCGATGAGCCTTATCATCTAGAGGGGTTTACAGAAGAGGATATCGCGGCAGGTGAGGAGTTAACCGTCTCCTATGACAATCTCGAGAAGAAGACATTTCAAGAGAGGCGGAAATTTTGTCGAATTGGGGGTTTACATGTATGTGTGAAAGATGTATGAGGAAGAATATGACTGGAACAGTATATACCTTGATTAGTGTTTGCAAAAACAAAGGGAATGTGGGCAGTCTGCGCAGTTCGTGAAAAAAAAGGAAGCGTAGTTCCTATCTTAATGATCATTAGATAACCCAAGACATAGGAATACATTAAACTAGCTAAAAAAAAAAGATAGTATATTAAGTAATAGTTATGCCTAAACACTCTGATTCTAGTATATGATTTCCATATGTATCCACTTCCTAAACGTCGCTAACCCACCCTCCATCAATCACGTAGCTACTCCCAGTGATAGCGCTAGAATCATCTGCAGCAAGAAATAGTATCAGCCTCGCTACCTCGTCAGGCATAAGATCTCTCTTCAAACTCTGCGCAGCCATAACTTCGGCGCGGTACTCATCCGTCAAGACCTCATCGATCTGCCTCTGCGTCGCAATGGCGCCGGGAACTACGCTGTTGACCCTAATGCCGTACTGACCAAACTCCTTGCTGTGCGTTCTCGTCATCCCAACGACTGCTGCTTTGCACATCGTGTAGAGAGGAAGCCCGACAGCTGGAATGCGCCACGTGATAGATCCCATATTGATAATATGCCTGACTTCTTTTTCTGCATCGCGGCACTACGCCTGCGTCAGGAAAAAACTGATGGCGAAGATTTACATTGAAGTCGTGATCCCACGACTCGGGCGTTACCTGGGTAGTAGGGACTCTCGTTGAGAGCCGGCACGAGCGGCGTTGTTTAGAAGAACATCCACTGTGCCGTGATCGGCGAGCGCCTTCTCCGCACATTCCTTTAGGCGAGCCAAGTCGGTCACATCGCAGTGGAGGAACGTGGGCTGGGTAGCACCAGGGATATCCTTTTTTTCAAGCAGCTTCTTTGCTGAAGTATCCGAATAGTTAAAAAGACGACATTGGAGCCTTGCCGACAGAAAAGCTCAACGGATGCTGCTCCGATGCCTTCGGCTCCTCCAGTTATCAAAACAGTCTTTCCCCGCAGGCTTGGGTACGTCGCATACTTCTCCATAGTAGCTGACTGATTATAGGGTATGTGTCTACTGATTAGATGGTGCTAGATAATGTATTCTAGAGGTATATACCATCAACAAAACCACAATGTAAGAAAAGCGTGGGGCTGGAGAACGAAAAAAAAAGAAAAAGTTGAAGGACCAAAAGGTCATATAAATAAAAGAACCACATAAGTTAAATCATGGTTTACCGAGCAAAGCCGTCAACTTTCATTCCTATGCACGCTCCCCTCAGCATAGGTAACGATTCAACCTTGGCTATATGGGCTATACCAAATGCAGGTGATGCTGACACAAGCTCCAATTAACGGACGTTGTGTACGGACACTCCTATGTCTTTGTTTGAATTATATTAGGTAACATGTTGTAATTCGGATATCATAAAACAATGTAGACGCTTTCTAAAAGATTATGAATTTATTATGTTATTACAGTATCACATTATCATTACGATAAATTTATCACTACTCCTCCTACGAGCCGTAATCGCATGTAGGACAGTAGGTCTTCGAATTATTGGTCGCCGGATACAGATCCTTCCCGTACGTAGAATTTAACGAGACGCTACCCACGACATTTCCAGACTCGAGGCGGATCCATGTATCAACCTCAAATCTTGCCAGTTTTGACTTCGTTGCGAGAACCTGACGAGCCCCCCTCTCCCAGTTACCGTAACCACCGTACCCTGAATGTTGACTGAAACATAAGTTAACGTCATTGCGAGGCGAGACCGTCATGTTAGGGAGTAGTCTATCCCATTTATAGCACCACGTATTTCCGTGATCATGCCCTGAGAAGACAGCCATTAATCCCGGAACAGCCGAGATAGCTTGCATGAACGGGATGTCTTGGCCGCCATATTCGCAAGTACCGTCGTTCCGACCATCTGCACACCATCCTTGGGCCTGGGGAGCCAGCGGATAGTCATCGTTTATCCCTGGCTCGGCATGCGGATTGATACCTTCTTTCTGTAAGACGTACGATGCGTAAGTTGGGATATGGACAAACGCCAGCGATGGGATAGCCTTGCTGTACTTCTCGACAAGTTCATTATTCGTCTGAAGAAACCAGTTCACGACGCTGAAGTCGACCCAATCTGGCTGGCCAACCCGGTTTCCGGATCCGTCCTTCCGCTGATACCGGAATCCTCCCCTGCTGTCAAAAAACCAAAGTATCAACTCGGGAGTGCAATTTTCATCGCTGCAATTGCTGTCGTAAACTGGAAGATAGTAATTTGACGTCCCCGCTTCTTCATCGAAAACCATCTGTGTCGTCCGACTATTACTCCACCGCTTTTCGCGGGCGAGAATGGTACTGCCGGATATGTTGTAGTCATAGTCGTGATTGCCATACGTTGACGCCCAGGTTAGACCGCGATTTACGAGAGGACTGACAATCTGGTCGATATAAACCGTACTATTCTCTAGAAATCCGTTTTCGCCAGTAATCAAGTCGCCGTTCAAGACAACAAGTCCAGGAGACTCAGCTTCAAGAATTTCGTTGATGACCTTGACAGAGTTGACATCCTGTTGGGGTCCCCATTGATCCCATGCGTCTAATTCAAATAGTTTAGCTTTCATTCCATATTTAGGTCATTTTATACAGGGTCATACTTTCGCCAAAATGTAAATCTTCAAATATTGATATCTGGAACGTCCCGTCGCTTTTAAAAGTGAGAGGTCCTGAGGAACCTGTGCTATTAACATAGGTCTTAGCTAGAGGTTTCGCATCTATCGACGCTACAAACGTCAATATAACTAAGGCCGTGGAAAACATAGTGAACCAAAGCGATAAGTCGTTATTAACATACTTACTTCCAAGGGCCAGAAATTGAATGGGATAATAACTCGCCCGTCGAGGGGTTATGTCCAATATGTACTTGGCTCATGCTGTGAACACTGACTAGGTAAAGGATTAGGTAGGGGACTAAGTATGAGAAATAGGGTTACAGCGCGCGTAGTCACTGTCTGATTCACTTTTTTAAAAGTGTGAGTGGTAAAGTTAAAGAAATGATCGGACTCCTCACCCGATTGAGTGTCTCAGTTATTATTGCCTGCTCTTTTCTCTTTCCCGATAGATAAACTTCAACGAGTCGGATGTCAAGCCCCGCAATGTGTCGCAGCTACAACCTTCAATTGGTTCATGGGACTCGACTTAGTACGGACGCCATCTGTACCTATCCTACGACCTAACTTATATAAATTTGATCCCGGTCGCATCGATGCGACATGGTAGCATACTGGTAAGATAGATGGTATTTAGTCGCATTTCTTTAGCTAGTGACTCGACAATAATACTAGATATAAACCTTGGAGTAGCTTTTTGACTTAAATATTTTCCTAGGTAGATTAAACTACGCTAATTTACCATTAACTATAAGTGTTTCCTTTATTTAAGAATGTCAAGGTTTACATTAGTAACAAGTCATAGTCCCGTGTTTTATCATAGCAGACAATGCCCACCTATTCTATTCACTATTTTCCGAAATAAATCCACTATACTTGCACTTCGTCTATTATCTCAACACTAAACGTGTTTATACTTGACTTCAACTTATCATATAGCCTTTTTACTGCTTGCAGAGCCTTTTCCGATCTCGTTAAGTATTATAAGACAGGTACGTATACCCCTATTACCGGGGCGTCAGTGTTTTAATTCATTTGAACAGTAACCTAATATCTAATTCTTGATCGCATTCGTACGTTCGTAGGTTCTCTAATTTCTGCCACTTATAACGGGTGTGCTACAGCTGAATTGGAGACATTTTATTCAAAATCGGCTTCAACGTAAAGGGGTTAAAAGGGGGAGGGGATGATCTCGGCGGGTTTAAAGTGGTCCGTGCTTCTTTTTGAGCTTCCCGGATGTATCTTAACTTTATGTGACAACATGAATTATAAAAAATTGCGTGATATACTAACTATTACTATGAAATATTTCATTTGTCTCAATTTAAACATATGACTCTTCTATCCGGTAAGCGAGTGGTAAGAACATGGTATTTAAAGATACCAGGTTTTTATAGGTGGATACTTTCTATCTCTTACAGGGTACCTGTCGATCTGAACCTATATAATAGTGCCCATAGTAGCGCTGTGGAGTTTCCATTTTCGCGATAGGATATGGCCTTGTGTTTTCGACCCGGAATCCCCTTAGACTCGGAGGCTTGGCTCCGCCAAGAAGTCCCAGGAACGATATATTCAACTTAATTCCTCAAATTTTTGGATAATTCATTCTCACTTACATGAGAAACATTTAAACCCTCTCTAAGTTATGTCGTTCCAAAAGACTCTCCGCCAATTTTTGTTTCTTTTTCAATTCGCGGCTACTTTTGCTGATATAGTGCAGCCCCGTCTCGAGTCGCAGATATGCGCAGTACCTAACCCACTATTCATATTTGATACTCAGATATGTGTACCTTCTGGGGCTTTTCCTGCAGGGAATGACAGCCCGCTAGGTGAAACATCATCGCCACTGAAGGCCTGGAAATCAGGTGGTCTTTGTCGCGGTGCTAGAGCTGATAAGTTCTGCGTCTTCACCAACGAAGCGTTTAACCGGGGTGAAGGTGTCTCGGTGATCACTACCTCAAACAGCATTACGACTATTTCAACACGGCCAGCTTTCCTCACGGATGAGCCTGAGGAAATTGATTCAAAATCAAAGTTGGCCATCCCCTACCGTGAAGTGGAAATACCAGGTAAAGATATTGGACTGGTAGCAACAAGGGCAATACGAGCAGGAGAGCTCATAATGGCACGAACACCTGCTATAATGGTAAACGAAAAGGCAATCAATAATCTTGGAAAGAAAGTTGTATCAGAACTCCTTGTTCGCGCTGTTGAGAATCTCCCTTCTCAACACAGGGAAAGTCTACTTAAGTTGTCGACGCATAGTAGTACAAGTGACTACGGCGATAAACTTTATAAAATTCTCCAAACAAATTCATTCCGAACGGGTTACCACGATGGGGTCAACCCGTTCTATTCTCTATTCACTGAAGGTTTGTTTATACAACTGCCTAAGGCATCATACTCCAGCCTCTGTAGGTCCATCTCGTCATCAGCAACTAATATATGAATTGGCAGTATCGCGACTCAATCATGACTGTCGGCCTACGTGCGCGTACTATTTCGACCACAGAGATTTTCATCATAAAGTATTAGCTGTGCGAGATGTTATGGAGGGTGAGGAGCTTACGATAGCCTATTATGAGTGAGTTAGAAACCACGGTAGAAGAGATCCACTTACTAAAAGATTTAGCCCTCTTCAATCGCACTCGACGAGGCAAGAGAAGTTGCAAAAAGAATGGGGTTTCCAGTGTTCATGTCAGAGGTGCAGTGCCAATGTGACGGCGATAGCTGAATCAGATCGTAGAGTTTCTCAAATACATGCTCTATGGAAAGAGTTGGATGACCACTCGGCATCGTCAAAAGGATCTTCGAAAAAGGCGGAACTTTTAGTATCGCTGTACGAACAAGAAGGGATCTTAGGCCGGTTAAACGAAGCCTATTATCGAGCGGCAATCGAATATATTGGGATTGGTGACGCTGAAATGGCAACCAAATATGCTGCTCTGTGCATCGAAAATGGCCTCCTGTTTGTAGGACCCGATCGTCCTTTTATTAAGAACATGCAAGAACTCATTGCGAATCCAACGGGGTATCCTAAATGGAAGTTCCGCTTGAGGGCCAGTTAAAAAATTGTCACTTGAACCTCGCAGTCATTTTTTGCTTTATAAATATTCAACACCGGTGGAGAAGGAAGCATAGAGAGTTATAGGTCAGATATCCAAATGTTACAATAGAATATTGGTTCGGCTATAAAAAGAAATCGCATAAGACCGTGGAAATAAAGTCGTTATCCGGCAATAGCCGTCAGCAATCCCGGCTATAAGCCCCGAAGGACACCTACGCACGTGGCAATTTGCAATGCATGTTGGGATTTTGGTAATAGATCAACATGTGGCTCTAGGAGGGGTTGATGCTTTTAGGATCCGGGGTTGTTGGGATCCGGGGTCGTAAGGATCCTATCACATCTACGTTAGAAATATGCCGAGTGAGTGGAGAATAAAGATCATAATATTTCCTCGTAACAGCGTTAATATAAATTCTTGCTATTCAAAAATACATTATTGACTCAGGTAGGCACCTAAGGTACCTAATCCATGCTACCATGGAATCGCTCATCATCCTTTTCCAAAAGACATTGGTCGAGCATACATTGAGGTCCCTTGCCATTGGGAGTCTTCTCGCAGTACTGCTTTACCTCGTTGGAAATGAAATCCTACGCAGTCAGTCGCGAATTTCTGGATTGAAAGGGCCAAGAGGTCTCCCAATTTTTGGGAATCTAATCGACATATGGTCTAATGCGGCATTAAAGTATCAGGAATGGGCCAAAGAGTATGGCGATGTCTATCAGGTCCAATTGGGGAATACCAGCGTTGTTGTTGTCAATAGTGCTGCTACGGCGAAGGAATTGTTCATATCTAATTCTCAAGCGTTAAGTTCTCGGCCGATAGGTTATACATTTCATAAGGTATGTTACATACACAATTAATCTCCCCTGTGCAGCTCTCGTTAATGCGTTCTATTGAATAGGTAGCTTCCAGTACTGCTGGTTTCACAATTGGCTCATCGCCTTACGACGATAGTTTGAAGCGAAAGAAGAAGGCAGCGGCGGTAGCCTTGAATCGTCCTGCTATCAAAACATACGTCCCGTACCTTGATCTAGAAACGAGGACATTTCTTCGAGATCTCCTCAGCTATGGAAAAGCTGGGAAAGTTGCGGTCGATCCACTTCCCTTAGTTCAACGCGTGAGCCTCTCACTGATGACAACAATCAACTGGGGCGTTCGAATTACTTCTATTGAAGATGAATTATTCAAAGAGATAGTGTCCGTCGAAGAGGGACTCAACAAGACCAGATCAACCGTTGGTAATACTCAGGATCACATTCCTTTTCTACGCCTTAACCCCTTAAATCAGAATTCTGCGAATGCTCGACAATTACGCCAGCGCCGAGACCGATATCTTTCCATACTAAACAAGGACCTTGCGGAGAAAGTAGCAAAAGGCACTAACAAACCGTGCATCCAGGCGAGCGTAATTAAGTATAAGGAGGTTCAGCTCAGTGACACCGAACTGGTGGCTTTCAGCTTGTCTGTGCTGGGAGGAGGTTTCGAGACCGTGTCAACTACTGTGCAATGGTCGATTGCTTACTTTGCGCTACATCCGGAGATCCAAGACAAGGCCTATGCAGAAATCCAGCAGTTTCAGGGGTCTAATGAGCCATTGTGTGATGCTGCCGACGATCAGAAATGTGCTTATGTACTAGCACTAGTAAAAGAAGCTCTTCGATACTTCTCTGTCATTCCGCTAGCCTTACCAAGAGCATCTATCAGGGATGTTCAATACAATGGCATCGTAATACCATCTGGGAGCACTGTATACATGAATGCATGGGCCTGTAATCATGGTAAGAAAACCATGACTCCATTTCAAGGCAGCTAACTTATATAATATGTGGTTATAGACCCCGAACTATGGTCTGACCCCGACAGTTTTCTGCCAGAACGATGGTTAGAGAAACCGGAAGCCCCTTTATTTACATTCGGCCTGGGATACCGTATGTGCGCAGCGCATATCCTTGCTACCCGTGAGGTGTATATCATCTTTATGAGGCTATTGAGTAGCTTTCGCTTCGTGGCCTCGGGTGATATACAATGCGATCCTAGCATCGATATGGTCAATCCAAAAGATTTAATTATGGTTCCCAAGCCATATCGTGTACTCTGTGTGCCTAGGGATGAAGAAAAGCTTAGGGCAGCATTGGATACGTCTGAATAAAGGGACAACTCATTAGTGGAGTAAGAAGCACAGAAACAACTTTATTGATTCGCAACGAGCTCTAAACTTGAGTATGCAGATTTGGGGTTAAACATGCTGAAAATATCCTTTATTCTAAACGATTCATCCCGAATCTAACAAGAGTTTCCGATATGTATTGCGCATTGTAAGAATACAGTATCTTTTCATATGTTATAAAGACGCTTTAAAAGTCTAAGTAGTTCATAATTGCATTGTCCATGATTGTTTTCCGAATAACTTCTATAAATGAGACCAACTACCTCTCTCTATGATGGAAAAGACACACCATAGTCTCTACCTATATCGATTACTACCCAAACTAACAACTATCTCCAACTAAAGCCAGCAATACTTCAGATTTTTATCTTATTTCCCAGAACCTTCCATCATGTGCTATAGGAACGTTTACAGATACGCAGGTTGTGGTTGCGCGTATGACCCACCTAGGGTCGTGCACACAACCACAACTCCGACTTGTTCACCTCCTTACCCGGACAGAATCGTCACTAGACCTGGGAACTGCAGTATGCATACTATAGAAAGCTAAATTTAGGTAACTATACCTTATGAGAGAGGATCACTGTAGTACCTACCCCCGAAGTAGATATTTAGCTAAGCGTCTATACAAGGCGATTTATCTAGTTTATGTACGATAGCTTGAATTCATAACCGCAACAAAATATACAGTTACATACACTCACCTATATCTTGCCACTTGCATATGACTGATTGTACGTAATTGATTTGTTTTCAAGACCTCGTTTACTTAACATAATGCTACCTAGGGTACCTCTCTTCATTAACCTCTCTATGCTACATACTAGATTACGTTTGATTATGTACATCTATATACCAAGACGAAAAATTTCACCATAAAATATTATTAGAGAATAAAATAATTATAGGTTAGTTACCTATAAAGGTACCTATAGATAAAGTGTATATGACCCTAATTTACATAGCCCTTTATAAAGTCCTGGAGCTCTGCGTCGCTGAATTCCTTCACGCCGAGTAAATCGTTATCTACTTTCTTGAAGTGGCTACCATATCCTTCTCCCCATATCGCCGCAGCTATAAATGCGACAATACTCGTTATTACCCTTCTCGAGCTCTGCGTAGGCTTGCTTGAGGTGCTCCTCGATGGACTTGACCTCTGACGTCCACCCGTCTGATCCAACCACTTTCTTGGCTTGCTCAAGGAGCTTCTTCAAGGAAATTTGTGCATTATGCACATATACATTGCGGTTCTTGGTCTCCTCAAGGTGCTTAAGTACCTCCGACACGGCCCTGGCGGTCGATGCGATAGTGGTGATGCTGAAAGCCTTGTCACCGCCGTTCCAAAGTGTAATTTTCTTGCCCTTAGGGTCGACGAGAAAGCCATACTGGAGCCCCGTATCCAAGAAAGGCCCGGTGGATATCAGCGTGTATGTTAGAGAACCAGCCGCTGCCTCTTTCTTCAGGACTTCGGTGACGGCCTTCTTTGCTTGGAATGGAGGTAAGCTAAGAGCCTTCTCATTCTCCGCATCTCCACCATATTCCGAGGGGATAAAGCGCTTGACGCCAACTTTAACCGCGGCTTTGATTAGAGGAATTTGGTATGGCAATCCCTCGAAGCCAACGGTTGACACAACCGCATCTTGACCACGGAGCGCCTTCTCAAGTGATTCGGGAGACTCATAATCGATTTCAGCAACAGCTACTGAAGACGGGAAGTTTTTCTTGGTTCCTTTGCGGGCAAGTACGGTGACTTCAAAACCATCTGCGAGGAGCTGTTTTAATACCGTTGGGCCTACGTTGCCGGTAGCCTGTATTATATTGAATTATCAGCTACTGGTTCTCTTTCATGATAGATGAGATGCTTAGGTGAATTCTTACCCCTGCGATTGCAACTTTGGTAATGCTACTCATCTTGTCGAACAAATTCGTTTTTAGTGGTGTCTGTCTCTTAACTAAGGTATGAATATCTTAGAGTTAGGGATGTGTGAATTACTATATAAGATACAAAATATATTTGATGTCGTACTGAGGGTTATATATAGTTTTACCTAGTCCATATCGCTTAAACATGACAAGTAACAAGCATCATACATGGCCATCACATCGGAATTCTATATAGCCCGAAGCCGATGCATTCATCCCATAGGCTCTCTATACGCGTAACGGACAAGATATCGGTGGGAAATGACATCTTGTAGGGCTAAGTGCGGATACCCATGTTTACGACGTCAAAGCTACCTAGCCATACGTGATTCTAAGGGTAGCTGTCGTTACGTAAGCGGGGAAGGACAGTATATACTTCTCGTAATAATACTTGATTAACAATAGAGATTCCAAGTGCGATCTTAGCTCGTTCGGTTGACAGGATGAAGGTAACACTGCGGCCTTTGGCGAGAGTCCTATCTCCGCGCTTATAAATTGAGTACTCTAAACGTTACATAGCCTGGTCTAATAGAGTATCAACCGGAGACAATTCGGCTTTAAAGAGCCAGCTACCTACGTATTTATCACGTAAATGGTGTTGACGTGCTTAATTTAATATCGTATACATAGCCGAATAGAAGCGAGTATATAGAAGCTTAATCCTGTAGCTTTTCGGCCGAACTGGATAGGTCGCCGACTATACGGAGCTACGATCAGATGTCTCGACAAGCCAAGTCAAGCAAATTTTTACTAAAAGCCTGGCCGTCCCCAGTTCAAGACAAATAAATGACTTTTATTTATTTATGTAACTGGGAATATTTACGGGGCTTGGGTCTTAAGCCAGACTAGTCTAATATTACCTACTGTAGTTCTTTTAGGTATAAGATGAAATTATTATAAAAGCTATTTTACAAGTCAATAATGCAATATAGTGGGGTAGAAAAGCATCCATTATCCATCAACTACCATATATGTTACCAACATTGTTAACCTTTTGATTTAAAATTGGCTTCACTTGATGTCATTTTCATCTACTACTAGTAAATACCTAATTTTCTATGATGTTGGGACTTTGGTATAAACCTCGTCTTATCACACATAGAAGATGCAAATACCAATCTCGATCCCATAGTTATTAGCATTTAAATGCCTCAATGAATGCATATATGGTGTAGTTGATAATACACAAAGATAATGTTGAAGAATGTTTTCATAGCCCTGAACGCCACACAGTACCTTCCTTAAAGGCGTTGAGCCTATTGAGCTCTAATATGCATTTCCCATACCGTCTTCATGGATGAGCTTGATGTTGAGATCCCACGCTCTAAAACCCAAACCAAAACGCCTCAAATGCAAATGCATACCTACCTGGAGGTACCTGATCTTATCTTGTGATCTACCTGTATGTCCTATTCAGCCCAACAAGACTGAGGAACTCGTTTCTAGTCTTTTCTTTTCTTTCGAAACAGCCGAGCACGCAACTGGTGATTGTGCTGGTAGTCGTCTTTTCAACACCCCGCATGACCATGCTAGAATAATGGTGGTCAGTGCTTGAACTGATAATAGGAGGTATTGGAATGGTACGTACCAGAGATGGCTTGACTCCATCACAACTGCCACACCCTGAGGTTTTAGAACCTCCATGATAGCATTGGCAACTTCTCTCGTTAGTCTTTCCTGGACTTGCAGTCGGCGGCTGAACATTTCGGCGATACGCGGTAGCTTGGAAATGCCGATAACATTGTTGTTTGGAATGTATCCGATATGCATCTAATATAAAATTAGAACATGAAGTAAAATAGCGAATTGGGATAACTGACCTTCCCAGTAAAGGGTACCAAGTGGTGTTCGCAGAGACTGAATATTTCTATATCTTTCACAATCACCATCTCATTATGGTTCTCATGGAAGATAGCATTGTTCACAATGTCTCTAACGTTTTGTTGATATCCCTTTGTGAAGAAAAGCATCGCTTTCGCATATCGTTTCGGAGTATCAAGAACGCCTTCTCTGTCTGGGTCTTCGCCAACGCACTCTAGAATTGTACGAATGGCTCCTCGCATTTTCTCCAATCTCTCGGCTGCTTGTTCGGAGCTCTCCTCAAGTCGTTCCCGGGTCCCCCGACCTGAATTATGTAAGTGATGGAACTTATTCGTTGAAGACGCTCAGATACGTACTTGGCCGGCTTAGGCCATCAAAGTCAATAACCGGACTAGGTGACCTGGTTTCTATACCCTCAGTCTTAGCCTTCTTGCGCTTCTTCCCACGAGGCTCATCTCTGGGATCTCGTGCTGCTTTGCTGATGCTGTTCCTCCTCTTTAACGACTTAGAATGTCCATTGATCTCTGATATGCCTCCATCTTTCACTTCTTCTCTTCTTCTTCTTGCTAGCCCTCCTATCATCCCGACTTTGGTCGCGCTCTTGTGTTTCGCTGCCATGAACCGAGTCGTCAACATCGGAGACTCCCGTGACGGAGCTGGTAGAAGGATCTGTGTTTGCCATTTCTAAATCGTTGAGCTTTGGGTTAGTGAACTGTACCAATTTGCTTTTCCCTGGCCGAAGCGTCAAACTGGCGCAAGGGTGTTATAAGAGGGGCTGTCTCTGTGTTTAACGTAAGGAAAGTTATGTAGGAACTTACGGAAAGGGAAAATCTGACTGTAAGTTCCAATCAGCTCAATCAAGTTAAGCACATGTATGATGTGCGGAGGCGAAATCCTTGGTGCTTATGGCAGCTGAGATGGAATCTTTTGAATCCCACTCTAATGCAAGCTTTATTAAAGCAGACTAGATTTGCAAGTATCGAAAATTGACTCTTCAATTGTCCGTTATCGCATTATCGTCTTATCACGTTCATACAGTGGTACAGTGCAAGGGTACCTTATGTACCTAAGTCATGTTTATGGGGTTAGCTTCGGCTTATGTAGCTACCTAGTACATAGTACCTAACGCATAATGATGTCTGATCCTTCTTGAATTGCATGCCTGCCAGCCTGCTTGCCTCTGATTGCATGCCCCATGTGGCTTGAGTTTGTGTATCCTTCAGTGGCTCAAGCTCCTCCGTCATTCAGCATACAATCACTCAGCAAAAGTTCCTTAGCAACAACAACTCTCTAATTGTTTTCTATTAGCCATCCACCGTTTTTACGCAGCATCCCCAATCAAGCTGTTCAACTAAAGCATCCGCTACTGTCGCATCTAACCTGACTACGTTACCTGCCTAAGAATTCGGAAGCTCGGATCCGTCGCGCCCTCTAAACCTAGACTTCGAGTGGGCTTCACTAAACTAGGCTTTCTAAATAAGACGAAATGGCATCCCCTCCACGCGCCTACTCGCCTGCGGGTTCTCCGCCATACTCTTCTAGCGCGCAGTTACCATCGAAGAAGCGTGGCTCCACAGCTGCTGATCTCTCATCTCAACCGCCCTCCCTCAAACGTCGCAAAGCATCTGTCATGTCCGTAGCCTCCGTAGGCTCAGCCCATCCTCTTCGACAGACGTCCTTTCCGCCCGACGAATCTCAAATACAAGCCTTTTCTCCGTCCTATCGGCGATCTCCAAGTGTCGATACCATGAGCCTCGTTAGTGGTAGCCAAGTTAGCGGCGCGCCCACGAAAAAAAAACGCGGTAGAAAGTCAAAAGCGGAGCGCGCAAGCGAAGCAGCCGCTGAAGCCATGCGAGATGGCTCTCCGAGCGTCGTAGGAGGTCGCGCACATACTATCGTTAGTAATGCGAGCGGTAATCATACTAGGAAGGACGTCGACCCAGACTCTAGGAAAGAAGAGGAGTTTGAGATACCCGAGAATATGGCTAGCATGTCTGCTGCTCGAACTAAGGAGCAGATCGAAGAAGAAAAGGAGTTAAATGCGCTTCTCAAGACGCAAATGGATGCTCTGCAGTTCGACCGGTATGAGGTCTGGCATCGCCAAACTCTTAAAACGTCAGACGTTAAAAGGGTAAATCATCATATTCTATTAATGGTTACCCCAATTGATTATGGTATGACTAACGATCTTCATCTTTATATAGCATATCAACAGCGTCACGTCGCAGTCGTGTCCTACTAATGTCCATCAAATGATGCAAGTAGTCTGCAAAATGTATCTTGGAGATATCGTCGAGTCCGCACGTGAGGTTCAACAAGAATGGGTACAATTAGGCGAGAAGCAAACCGACTTATCTGACGACGATCTTAAGCCTGCGAACGAGTTATCAAAACACCGCCGACAAGCCCCCTTACGGCCCGAGCATCTTCGCGAAGCATATAGACGCCGAAAGGCCGGTACTGAAAATGGTGGCTCTTTGGGGAGCTTGATGGTTTGGAACCAGCAAACGCAAAACGGAGCTGAAAGATTCGCGGTAAGAGCAGGTGGCCGTCGAATATTCAAATAATGATGTTCCATTGTGGGAATCATCTCTACTTTGACTTCGGGAGGCGCCGGAGCCCAATACTTTGAATATTGAGTATATCCTACTCATAGGCCTACCTACCTTATGACAAAGGTATTGTTGATAATCCACATAATACGATAATACCCAATGCCATGCTTAACAATATCCTCTGTCTATTTAGGTCTTTTACCGTGTACTTATAGAGAGTATATCGGTTAATGTTCAACGCGACATGACCTTACAACACTGTACCTGAATGCCTAGTCAAATCAGCGATACGGGGTCATCCAATTCCAACTAATTCGATCGACCATATGCGGGATCAGATAAGAAGGAAAATGGGTCACATAATCATAGACAACTAGATGACTGAAACACGGCATATCTAGGGCTGTCCTGAAATATATACGTTAGGTACCTAACTATTGCTCTAAAATAAATCTGAGCAAAGACCTGGTTCTCTCATATCTGATATAAGCAAGTTTGATGCACAAATACCTTAGATTAGGTACCATTTGGCATCCGATGACAAGTGTATATCAAGTGTATATCCCTTCATAGTACCTCCAATACTATACCTAGGTCCCTGATCTAGGCCAGGTAGAAATATAGGATTTTAACAAAAGCTTAATTGCATTAATTTACGGAGTAGTTTGATATAAATTATCATGTCTTATACATGAGTATATTGGCTCTATTAAGCACATAATTAAGCATCACAAGGCTAGATGCTTTAAAGCGATCAATTTTACAGTCTTCCAAAGGTAGGTACCTAGGTAAATATTGTAGTTACGTCATTCTTGACAAAAATATTTGGTTTACTTTGACAGCGCTAGCCAGCAGTAGCTTTTGTGGTGCCCCACTACGTAAAGGATCCGTAGTCTAGATTATAGAGTAGCGTAAGCAGACTTTTTTTCATAGTACACCAGCCCTTATAGCTCAGTGGTAGAGCGCAGCACTTGTAATTCTTCTGAAGATATTCTACAAGTCCATGCTGAGGTCCATCGTTCAATCCGGTGTGGGGGCACATTATCTTTTGCAACTTTCTCTTTTTGATTCTTTTTTCCCTACATTTCACTCTCTTAAAGATGTTCTCCGGTTTTTTTTTTGTTGTTTCTTTTTTACTTACCTGCCACCTACCTTAGGTGCTTAATTAATTGCCCCCAGATGTCTTCATCCTTTCTATGACTTCAAAACACATTGCTCCGGCGGCAAAGCAATCCGTATCTATATCTACCTACTTACTACCAATAGGTCATGTTAAATAATGGAATTTAGGCAACAACTATAAAAACAGTATTGATTGACCCAATATGTAGATTGAAATGTCTCATGCTTGTCACAATGTAAAATAATTATTTGGATGTGAATAATCAACGCGCCATGTAAAAACAGGTACTTTGGTTTGTATTTTGCATCATCTAGCATCTGCAAGTTTTCAATCGTAGTCCTGGTGTGGTTGATGTTTAACTACCATCAGGTAGCGCGAACTATATCGATTGACCCTGCGAAGAAATGCGGGCTGGTGAACATCGTATAAAGAAAACTCGGAGCAGATTACCGGTTAGTTAAACGACATACGTTCATCCCTCTGGATATATCAAGTCGGTAAGATCCTTGTAGTTGTGGTAATCTACGAGATTTTTCATAGATACGAAGAGCTAACTGATAGACAAGATTAGGTACTCTTTCAAACGGGACGAGAATAGAGTGGAACAAGTGAGGTACAGATAGACGCTCCTAGGTAACAGAACCCTGGTATGTATCAACCGCGTGCAGCCGCATCGAAAAAGGGCCAGTTCAAATCGCAGAAATACAGTTGCCTAAATCACGGCTCGGAAAGACTGCCAATGAAAGGCATGGGATCTACATTGCGATGGGGGAGACTTGAATTTTGAAAAGACCTGTTACAGACCTTTACGTCCTTTTATAGTGCGAGTTGCAGATCATAGCACCGAGAAACTCGTATTTAGTTATTCGTGGGTGTATAGGTAGATACCGGCAAACTAATGCTGGGTTAGAAAGGATAGTAAATAATATAAAGACCTTTGAGGCGTATCTACTTACTTACTTATCTACCCAAAGGTTATCATCTAAATAGCCAACTATTTATTATTCAGTCTATCTACCTATCTATCTATCAATCATTCACTCGTTTCAATAATTCAACCATCAAAATGTCATCGTCTGCTTATACTAGGCCAGAGTCCGCTATGTATAGCGAACTCGCCAAATCAGAATTCCATCCTCCAATAGATGAACAAGGGCCAAAGACATCACGACCATCAAACCAGTCGTCCTGGAACACTGCAAGATTCGTGCTACGTATTGCATCAACGACCATTGCACTGCCCCTTTTCGGAATATCAGCTTCTGGATTTTCAACAGGAAGGAGGTTCAGCGCATTTCCACTCCTCGCAACACCACTGGTAAGCCTAGCAATCAAGAGACTCGAGTTACCGTCTACTACTATGGTATACTAAGAAGCTAACTTACTACTATATAGGCTTTAGCAGCAATCTTATACGATATGGCAGAATACATCGTCATGTGTGCCCAGAAAAGGAAGTCCGGTATCCGCCCTACTATTTCTCTTGGTTTCGAACTCGTCCTTGGGCTCTGCGGTATGACATTATCGGGAATTCTCATCTATACTACGGTCGTCTCCTACAACTGGCGCATAGAAGACTTTGCCTACAATGCTAAACAGGATAAACCCATCCCCGGATATGTTAGCAGTGGATACTTTTGGATCAAGATGTCTATCGCCGCCAGCTGTCTTGCTTCAATATTATCGTAAGTTCCAGCGAGCTACTATTCTCGTCGTCAATGTATTTTCCAGGTTGACTAATGCTTTCCGCTAGTCTAATCCACTTCGTCCTATTCATTCGTGACTGCGTTGATGTAGACAGGCAGAGGAAGGCTGCGAAGAAATCTCAAGAAGGAGAAAAAGAAATATCAAGGGCTTCAGTTGACCCTAAGGAATCAACGACCCATGTTCCGGAATTAGACTCGAAGGTTGGGCAGAAGAGTGATGACTACGATGGAAATATCGACCTGGAACACTAGTAGCAAAATGAAACTTGATAAAGAGCTATTAGATTATCGGGATAATCTAGAAGAGGTAGGATCGAGAGCAGATTCTTTTGCAACGAGCGTGTGGGGAAAATAGATTTAAGTAATGAATAAGAGGTAGGTAGCTACTACGGAAGTTCAAGATGTTTACCAACTCTATAAAATACTTATAAGGAAGAAAGAATATTCATGGTAAAGAGAAATGAATCTTTTAACCAAAATATGCGCCGAGTGAAGGAGAGGCTTTGAGATATTTCGTTGAAATGATAATACAAGAAAGGATATGTGTAAATAGTACGCATCATACCTAAGGTAGGGAGAGCTTAGTCATCAAAGGGGTCACTCCTAAATCATGTAGCTAAGTATCTTAGATACATGTACCTACGTCTGCCCTTAAGGTATCTATCATCACGCAGAATGCATGACTTTAACACGCTAGTTTTCTTGTTAAGTAAGACTTCGTCTAGATCTAGGTACCAAATATGCAGTGTAGAATATAATGAATGGTCCTATTTGTTAGTATCATTTTTCATTTTTCATTTATCATTTTGATTATTGATTTACGATAAATGATTTGAGACTAAATTGGAAGTTGAGTAGCGTAGTATGTTTAATGCTGCTCTAGCTAGTGGTGATATTTATAACATAGGACTATGTAAATATGTAAAGGCGTCTAGTCGATGGTGAAAACATAGTTCTGACGTCGAGACCCCATTGGATGAAGAACATCCCATTGCTGTATTAGTCACCCTTTCTTCGCCGACACTTGTTATGTCTGATGAGTGGATATGCATATGCCGTGGCCGTGGCCGTGGCCGTAGATTACCCAGAATGCCTATAGGCGGACTTTCTCAGGTATCAAAAGGTAAGTTTGCCAAGATACGTGTTGGCTGGATTGTGCTTCACGGTAGCAGGCTGCTTCAACATGCCAGGAAAAAAAAACAGAGCATTGATGATGGCTATAGATCTTCCTATGCTTTTGGAAAAATTTGAAAATATCGGCAGTCGACGGGAAGGGAGTGGACCAGGTGGCTGTCCGGTATATGTCTCATGGCCACTAGTCCTTGATTCTGGTTTCTCTCATCCCAATACTTCGAATTGTACTAATTTGAAAGATTTCCGAGGTTTGAAGTATAGCATCTAATGGAAACTCTAAATGATTTCCATCTGCTTCAATTACGGTGCTTGGCACGATTGGGTAGGGTGAGTACTAGGAGTAGTCGTATTTTAGATTCGGGACCTTCACTTGTGTATAACAAGCCTAACGTATACGAGCGGGCGATCTAACCGTGCGATGATGCTAGTCGCTGTAGATGAGAATATTGAGGTTTGACTAAAATAGGTTATCGCATTGCGTATCGCGCCAAAAATGTGATGGGAGTGTATGATGTCGTTGAGGTCGGTGATAGCAGCAAGGTCGGGGGTAAACGACGGTTATGTTAAGCGATTTATCATATGGCCGATCACGATATCAGAAAGCATGTAATGAACAACTGCCAGAATAATTTCATTGGCCTATGTTTAATGAAAGGCGCCGAAGTATTGTATAGTAATTGATACCTTCGTTATAAAGAATATGAGCGCCAAAAACAATCAAAAGGGGGCAGGGGATAAGGGGAATATATGTGACATACCTGATGCGATGGTATTGGGGGGAGAGGGGGGAATAGCACAGAAATATCATGAGATCAAGTTATGAAATCATGCGGGACTTGCGATATATTGTAGTGAAGTTGCGTAATGAGATGTGAACCACCCATTTTTAGTCCCCTCGATCTATGTTTTCTTCGATCTGAAGGCAAAATAAATACCATTTCCTGGTAGCCATCTAAATTCAGAATATAATACCTAGGTAGGTATTGAAAGAAGAAGATTCTCTAAATGAATAGTCCATAATGGGCATGGCTTCAAAGAGGTAAGGGTTA